ATCCAATTTCACTTGCAAGTCAAGGCATTACCTTCGTGATGTCATGGTCCTCTTCCTGAACAAAGGACAAACGACAACAACAAATATGTTGAAAATTCTTTGAGGATAATTATCATCTATGTGTTATATTATTTTGTATCCCTCATCAAATCCACCTCAGTGCTTTGTATGTAAGACATGCTACTATTTTTCTGAAAAAAAAAAAAATGAATGAATATTAGCTTGACTTCTTTTAGCTTCCGTTGCTGCATGCATGAATATGGAACCACCTAGAACTGAGAGCAACATCCTCTGGGGAAGATACATGTTACAATGGGTAAAGCACTAAGCTTAAAGTCAGAAGGACTTGAATTCAAATCCTACCTCAGACACTTGTTAGCTGTGTGACCCTGGACAAGTCACTTAACCTCTGTCTGCCGCAGTTTCCTTATCTGAAAGTGGGAATCATAAAAAAAAAAAAAAAACTATGTCACATGGTTTTGAGCATCAAATGAAATAGCACATGTAAAGCACTTTGGAAACCTTAAAGTGCTATATGAATATTAGGTATTTTTATTATTATATATAGCAACCTGTCCAGAAAGAACAGAACGGTATACATGGAAACTGCATAAAAGGCACCTGGAAGTGAAGTGAATTTAATTTATCCGGAAAAATCAGTGAAATGGTGAAGAACGTGACCATTGTGCAAGTTCCATTATGACCACGAATTAATCAATAATAATAAAACTTGCACTTATGAGGTGCTTTCCAGTTTACAAAGTTCATGGCGCTCTTATGAAGTAGGTAATGCAAGTGCTATTGTCTTCAGTGTCCAGAAAGGGAGACTGAGGCTCAGAGTATGTTGCTGCTCCCAGTTTTCATAAATCACAGATGACAGAGCCCATTTCAGGCTTCCCAATGATTGTCATTGCTGTTCAGTCATTTCAGTCATGTCCAACTCTTCACGACCCCATTTGGGGTTTTGTTCGGCAAACATACTGGAGAGGTTTGTCATTTCTTTCTTTTGTAGATGAGTCATTGGAGGCAAATAGGGTTAAATGACTTGCTCAGGGCCACACAGCTAGTATCTGAGACTGGATTTGAATTCAGGAAGATGAGTTTTCCTGATTTCAAGTCCACTGCTCTATCCACTGTACCACCCAGCTGTCTCTCCTAATGATAGGGTCTTTTTGTACCATTCCACCCTGCCTTTTGTATGGGGGAATGACATCATAACATAATAAATAGAATGCTGGATTTGGAATAAGAAGAATGTTTTCAAATCTGTACTATGCTACTTACTACCCAATGTGACCTTGGCCAGATCACTTTGAACTGCACCTCTGTATTTTCACCTGTAAAATAAAAAAATTGGAATAAGTTATTTCTAAGGGATACTTCCACTTTAAAATTCTATTTAAAACCCTAATGTATTCCAAGGTGACTAAGTCAAAATATACAGAAGGAAACATGGAATCAAAGGATCGCAGAACTGGAGCTAGAAGGGAACTCAGAAGCGTTCAGGCCCAAGCCCTCTTTTTTTTATTTAAATTTTAAAAACTTGTTTTTTTTACAAAAAATTATCTTTTGCTCTTAAACTCCCCTCCTCCCAATTTAGCAAAAGGGAAGGAAAACCTTTAGAACAAATAGGCACGGTCAAATTGGTCAAGTCCAAAAATGTATGTCTCCTTCACAATTTGAAGTCAACCGCCGCTCCTGCAGGATCATGTTTCAATCTTGGTTTCTGTAGAATTGTAGGATACACAGCTAATAAGTGTTTGAAGGAGGATTAAAACTGAGGTCTTCCCAACTCCAAGGCTAGCACTTATTGACGATGCTACCTAACTAGTGCCCTCCCTTTCCAGATCACTTTGTATATATTTTCTGTTTACTTATCTGTGTGAAAGGCAGACAGGCATAGTAGTAGTGAGCTGACCAGGAAGAGCAAAGTTCAAGTATTTCAAGCCTTTGACTGTGCTGGAAGACATATGTCTGCCTTAGCAAGTCACTTAGACCCTCATTGCTCCAGGCAACTCTCAGACTACAAATTGAAGAGAAAGTGCCTATGTACCTTGGTGGTAGGAATTTCCTTACCTAGGGGTTTGTAATATCAATGAAATCACAGGTTTGATTAAAATCTATTAGCTGTGTACATGACGTTCCCCCCAAATAGAATGTAAGTTTCTTGAGATCAGGGACTTTTTTTTTGGTCATTTGTTCTCAGCATCTGACACATTATATGACACAATCCAACTCTTTGTGACCCTTTAGGGGTTATTTTGCAAAGATACTGGAGTGGTTTGCCATTTCTTTATCCAGCTCATTTGACAGATGAGGAAACTGAGGCAAAAGGGGTTAAGTGACTTGCCCAGGATCACACAGTTAGACATTTAATACTTACTGAATAAGTGAACAAAGGAAGGAAGAAAGGAAGGAAAAAAGAAAGAAAGGAAAAAAGGCCCCTCTGAAATAGCTCTCTACAACCTGAATCAGTCTTGAAAGGACACCAAGCATAAATGTAGGCCTGGACCAGTAAGTTGAGTTCTTTCCAGCTACAAGCAAGAGGACAATTCTAGATAATTCTTGGGACTCAGAGTATGACCCTGTCACTTAATACACTCACTGGTCTGAAAGATCTGGCCCAAACCACCTTCTCTTTCGCTTGGGGATTGTCCATTGTTCTCTAGTGTGTGATTAGAAGATTAGCTATCATTACTGTTTTATCCCAGTAAAAAGCTGGGAAAATGAACTCCCAACAGGCCTTTCCCTAGCATGAGTAATTCATTACCCACCTTGATTTCCACTTAAAATGTACTTTAACTACACTTCCAGCTACAAACTCTAAATCACCCTGTGTTCACAAAGTCTATCATTTTTTATTTTATGGCATGGCGTTGGCGTGACATAATCCCTTCCAGAGCATCTCCGAGTGCTTTTACAGATCAATAAATTACTTACCTGTGCATTGGAGGGAATGATTGCAAGGCCAGAACAGACATTTTGTAGTCAATCTGGCCTCCAAAAAAGTAAGCTAGGCTTTTGTGGATGGCAGGCAGTGTAGGATGGGCTGGAGGAAAGGAATGTGGATAGGGTAGATAGGAGACTGGCTATACCTAGAAGAACTCTAGGGGTAGAAATGTACCCAAAGGGTAATCTTTAGCAGGATATTGTTTTAAAATTCTAGTCCTCTTGCCCCTCTAACTTTGGAATTTGGGGTTCTTCATAATATGGACAATGAATAATGGATATAGAAGTACATTTTCAAATCAAATGGTAAATCATTAATCAAATGTCATGGTGACCTCTAAGATTTAATCTCCATTTTAATATGACAGGTTTATAAATTAGAATGGTACATTTTAAGAGCCACACAAAGGCCTGGATACCCATGTCCACTACCCTCATGTAGGCCAATCTTGTTATGGGTTTTCTTTTCACCTTTCCTACTGCCACACACACACACACACACACATACACACACACACACACATGCACACATACTTCATACTGCCTTTTTCTCCATTCTAATATAAAATGATCTGATTTTAAATTAGCAAAGAGAGAAAGGCAAACTGTGTTAACAAGAGAGAAACTGTGCGTCATACCATCCTTTTCAGGATAAGGTCCCATATAAGATAAAAAGCCTATACTAATAGGCAGGGATTATTCTTAGAAAACATCAAACCATCAACAAACTGTTAAAATATGTGGTTTATGAGCTAGAAAATAAATCTGTACCACCATTCAAGAAAGTAGCCCATGGCCCATCAGCACAACTGGCCACCTATCACTAATCTTTTCAGTGGGGTCAGCTCCACTGAATTTAAATTTCAGAATGATTTCCTGGGGTCACTTACTAGAAAGAGTGGAAAGGATTCTTTGAAGTAGCCTACTCTTAACAAAGGGAAGATCCCTAAAAAAGGTATTAAATCCAATTATCGGGAGATGGTTGTACTATAGTAAAAAATACACTGATTTGGAGGCAGATGATGTAGGTTCAAATCCTGACTCAACCACTTACTATCTGTAGTTGTACTTACTACCTTCAGCAAATCACTTAAGCTTTCTGGCCTCCAGTTTTCTTATCCGTAAAATAAGCAGGTTGGACTAGATGAACTTCATATTTCCCTCTAACTTTAAATCTATGGTTTTGTGAAATGCAGGGGAAGTAGCAATAGTGTAGTGAAAAGGTACTGAATTTGGATCCAATGAATGTGAATTTTAATCCTACCTCTGCCACTTACTGGCTCTGTGATTATGGCAGATTAATTAAATTTCTTGAGTTTTTCTTTTCTCATCCACAAAATGGGGATAAAAATACTAGTAGTAAGCACTTCATAATTGTAAGTTAGGATCAAATGAGATATTGTTTGGAAGAATGTTTGCAAATGTTAATATACTTTACTAATGTAATGTGTTAATGGAGTATTCATTCCTTCCTAGTGTAAGTAACATTATAATTCTACTTGTTAATATTATTATTACAAAGGGGGAAGCTATGTAGTAATAGGTAGGCATGGAGGTTTTGCTTGTTCCATAGACAACCAGTGTCAACACTAATAAGACCAAAATTAAACAAAAATATAATCAATGAACATTTATTAAACACCTATTTTATTCAAGGTAACATATTTTATATTAACAGAGAAATGAAAACAAAGACAAATTCCTTTCCCTCAAGGAACTTACATTTTACTAGACCTGTGACTTTGGTATCCCACTTAAGGTATGCAAGAAGAGACATTTTTACATAATTGAACATAAGGAGGCTCCCTTTTCTGAGACCTGAAGTATGTTGATTCCTATTCAAACTACCTGATTTGGAATTTAGAGGATTAGTAGAAATCAAATATGTTGTATGACTTTTCTTTTGGTTTAAGGTTATTTATCATGTTTCTTCCTGACAATTCTCTCATATGAGCAAAGTATAGAGTTTATTCTCGAAATTATCATGTAAGCAAACTGTAAAATATATTGCCAATGTTTTGATTCTCCTGTCACTTGTTTTGTTTTTACAGTATCTCCAAAAATCATAGAGATTTCCTCAGATATCTCCATCAATGAAGGCAGCAATATCAGCCTCACCTGCATAGCAACAGGTAGACCAGAACCTACAGTTACTTGGAGACATATCTCTCCCACTGGTAAGAAAATCAGAGATTGCTTACTGAATGGGGGTGGGGAGGAATAGAGAGTTTAGGGGGAGGGAATTGTTGTGTGAAGTAGTAAAAATGAACAGTAGTAGGTTGTCCTATACAGAAGGTTCAGAAATGGCACTCCCTAGTAAATGTGGCCTGGGACAATACAAATTTGGCAGGATTGTCAAATATTTTTTGAAATTCTGAAAATAAGTTTAAAGTCATCTACAATGCTATGTTGTTGAAGACCTCGGAAATAATCATTTAAATAATTTCTCTAGTCCCCTGGTGAGGGTATTTCAAAAATATGTCAATGGAATATCTCAGATACAGGTTTATTATATACCAAGGTTTATTGGAAACATGATGGTGCTCACTGGTAAGGGTGATCTGGAAGACATGTGTAATTGGCTATACTATCGGGTAAGAAAGGCAAATATATGTACAGTGATTGATGGTGAGCCAAAAGTGCCTATTTTTCTTAAAAAGAAAATTATCTAGGAATGATTAGATTATTGTGGACAAGATTGTGTACTAAGCTTTTGTGGACAAAATCCTATGGACTTGTGGTCTACCTGAAATAAGGTAGTGTGTTCCTCCTCTTTATTCTACAAAAATTTAGAGAAATCTTGACTAAAGTTTACTTACTTGATCAAACATTTAGGTCAGCACTGTCCAAGTGATATTTTTGAACTCTATGGCTAACAGGCAAAACAAGCCAAAAACAAAAACCTTAGGGCTTCAGGGACTAAGTTTTATGTGCCAGAGGGTGTGGAAATGTTTTGGTGAGAGCAACCTTAAATGATTTCATTACTTATTCCTCATTTATATAAAGTAAGGTACAGCAAATGATGTTTGCTGAGTGATGCAAGTTTTAGGCTTCTGGGGAATAAATTGGTCTAAGATGGTTTGCTTGGATATCTTATGCCCCAGTTTGGATGGAAAGAGCTATTCCTGGTGGAGTCCTTCCCACAAGCTTCCAAGAATGAGTGAAATTTCTCCCTGATGTAAGGGAATTGGTGATCCCATCTGTGTGGAGTTTTGGGAATGAGAGATTATGAGCCTGCAGCTACATGAAGTTTGGGGCCACTGAGAAACAGTCAGGAAAGGAAAAACTGTTTAAGGGGGCCCAGGTGTCCACTGCAGACAAAAAGGACACCCCAACTAGAACATCAAACATAATAAAACACCAATAGAAGGCCTCTTCCCTATTGTCTGTGAATGCAAGCTGCTGAGGGCATCTTCCATCTTCCTCTTTTCATTTCCCTTCCATCTGCTGAGTTGGAGATTTTTTTTCTCTCTAGAGGTTTCCATTCTCTTGAGTTCATTCTCCATTGTTTTGCTGAGTATGACTATAAATGTTATCTGAGTGTGGTGAGAGAGGTATCTCTGAAAAGGGTGTTATATTTTACAGAATACATAAAATAAGATCCTAATCCTAGTTTAGTGGCAAAGTGAATCACCTGGGGGCATGTTCTGTGGGTCATTTATCCTGTAGGTTTCATAGCTAAACTCCCAAGGGAAGAATTGAGATAAGATCTGGGTCTTTCTTTCTGTCTATCCCACAGACTACCTCAGCCTGTCTTTCATTTCTATTGATTTTAATTACCAGGTGTGGCTCACAGAAAGAGGCTGTGTTTCCTCTCAGCCTTCTCAAATTTTGAAAGAGACAGACAGACTGAAAGACAGAGAGAGACAGAGAGACACACAGAGAGACAGAAAGAGACAGAGACTGAGCCTGAGACAGCAAGAAAGAAAACAACTAGAGGAGGAAGTCCCATCCTAATTGACTCAGGAGGTAGAAATAGGACAGTCAGTGAAAGACAACTATGGGCTACATAGGAAAAAGAAGAGAAGGTAATCCTTTCTTCCTTCAGGCATGGTTATTTCCAGCTTCTCAAATGCCAGGACACTTTTCAGGCCTTTGACTATATTCCCTATTGTTTCAAGAGGACAGAAACAGAGAAAGATATGGGTGAAAGGCATTAAACTCTTTTTAAAAATGCATTTATTGATTCATTTTTTCTCTATATGTCATTCTGGGGTGGGGTGAGAAAGAATCCTGATCTGCCTCTCAGTATGAACCTTTGGAATAGAGGAAAACAAACATTTGACCCTGTCTGACAAGCCTCTGCACTCTCTCCCTCCCTCAGCCTCTCTGCCATGAGGAAGATGTGTTTTATTGCCTGTTCTTTGTGAACTTCATTTATTATTCAATTGCTCAGAATTCATCTTCCCGTTAGTGATCTTGTCATTTACATTGTTATAGCCACTGTTTGTATTATTATGTTGGTTCTAGGTTATTTCATCCTTCATCTGTTCATACAAATCTTTTCATGTTTCTCTAAATAACTAATATTTGTAAGTATTTACTTCATAGTAATATTGTATTGCATTCATATGTTGATTTTTAGTGATTCATCTATCAATAGCAGCCCATTTTATCCCCAGTTCTTTGTCACGTAAATATTGCTATTATGAATATTTTGGTGTACCTCAGACCTTTGTTTTTGTCTTTGAGATTCTTAGGATGTTTATCCCAATAGTGAAAGCATGAGGTTAGAGAGGATGGGCAGTTTAATCATTTTATTTCCAATTTGATATAGAGAATGGTTGTACCAATTCACAAACTCAACAACAGTTTGTGTTTATGAAGCATTTCTTCCTGAAATCCAATAAACATTTCCTGTTCTCAGTTCTGAGTCATCTTTGCCAATTTATTAGGTATGAGGTAAAATCTTGGAATTGTTTTAGCTTGTATTTCTCTTACTATTTGTGTTTTGGACCATATTTTCATGTAGTCATTTTCAATTTTCAATTTTTTTGAAAACTGTTCTTATCTTTTGACAACTTATCTAATGAGAAATGGCTCCTACTGATATGAATATTTGTGTCATTTTCCTACGTATCTTGGATATTGGGCATTTATTGGTAATTGATGACAATCTTTGTCCCACTCTATAATTTCTCCTTTCATTGTTTCTTCATTGATTTCATTCACACAAAAGATTCTTAATTTCACACAATAGAATTTGTCTGTTTTGTCTTTTATGATCGCTCCTATTTTTGTTTGGTTAAGCACTTTCTCCTTAACCATAGCTGCCAAAGTTAACTTCTCATATTCTCTTCTATTTAAAAACAAATGATGTGACTTTTTATATACAGATTCCATATGCATTTTAAATTTATTATGGTATATGGTATGAGAACTTGGCCCAAGCCTAATTTCTGCTAAATGGTTTACAATTTTTCTCAATAGTTCTTATTAGAAAGACAGGCCTTCTATAGAGTAGTGTATGTTTTGGGGTTGATCAAGCACTGGGTTACAACTTTTGATGTCTTCAATTCCTTACATTTCTGGTCTGTTCCCCTGATCTACTTTTCATCTTTTTAACCACTATCCAATAATTTTTTAATGATGATCATTTTATAGTACAATGCCAATAATGTTAAGTCATAGAACTCTGAAGGCTTAGAAACCACTGTTGTCATTCCCACATCTTTAACCCTGATGATCCTTCCAGTAAGCAAAGGAATAAAAGAGGTTACTCACACAGTTGTCATCTTGGTTTGAAGTGCACGTGGAATTGAACAAGCAAACAAAGGCAAACCAAATCATGTGTCTGAGGCCCCATTGAGGGATGGCATGCTACCTAAATCTACTACAGGTGTATGTGAGATGGAAGGGGTAGTACAAATTGATTTATAAAGTCTAGGGGGGGAAGAGCCACTCAGCTCTGCCTTAAACACCTAAGGATATCAAATCAGCATGACTGTCAGAATATTTATCATTCTCAGGTTGCATTTATGGTAGGAATTCTCAGCCCTACGTATCCTTTCACCTTTCCAATTCTCCTTTGTGTTCCTTTTCTTTGATCATACTCTGGGCAGGGCTCTCTTTGTTTGATAGTGTAGTTCTCTTTTTCTCCTTAGCACATCTCTTTTTGTCTTATTTTCCTGATTTCTCTCTTTGTTCTAAAATTTTTTCTTGCAGTCTCCCATGTGATTCAATTTGCTTCCCCCCCATTTTTCTCTTCTCTCACACCTAGTACACACTCTCTCTCTCTCTGTCTCTCTCTCTGCCTCTCTCCGTCTCTCTCTGTCTCTCTGTCTCTCTGTCTCTCTCTCTCTCTCTCTGCCTCTCTCTCTCTCCTCTCTCTCTCTCTTTCTCCCATCCCCCTGCCTTAAAATTTCATGTTGCTGTGTTTTAGAGCCTTCTTTTCTCTCTTACTACCATCCAGCCCGATTTATTTCCCCAGGGGACCTTTACCTGAGCTTAGACCAGATGTTTCCATTTTACTGAGGTCTTAACTGCTATGGAAACAGACGATGTATCAAGGGGAGAGGAGGGGGATAATCAGAATCTACCTGTGGATCTGAGTAATTTGGGTGAACAGCTTTTTCCAGATCTCTGGTCCAGATTAGCTCTCCCAAATTCAAACTGATGAGCACTGACAGACATCAACTAATCACCTCAGAACTCACCATGGCTTCTTATTTCCTGATCACTGATTATTTGGAGATAGGAGGCATGTTTTTGAGTTGGTGCCAAACCTGAACTTGAAACTGAATACTCATAGTAGGAAGATGTTCATCTTTTATTAACTACTTCAAAAGCATGGGTTTTTCACAGGTTTGAGGTTTCTCAGAGCAAAAGACAGGCTACATCTTTTCATAGCTTACAAACGAGGTGTGGTTATTTTGACATTGCTCCTCTAATCATATACCTGTGAAAGCTTGTCCTATTTTATGTGGCTCCATCAAGGTCTTCCTGAAACACATACCCATTTGTTCCCTAAACCTGAAACAATTTTAGAGATAAAGAACTTGGTAGCCTAGGTCACATGCTGCTATCTCATCTATCTACCTCACTCCATTCTTTCTATTAAAAAAAAAAAAAGAAGTAGCTGGTGGCTAAAGCACTGGGCCTGGAGTCAGGAAAACCTGAGTTCAAATCCAGCCTTAGAGACTAACTGTGTGACTCTGGACAAGTTCCTTATTCTTTA